TTGTTTGGGCAATTCCCTTTGGCTCCCCGGCCTCAGTTTCTTTGCCTATAAGATGAAAAAGTTGGATCTCCTGAGGTCTCTTCCAGCCAGGTAACATCCCAAAGGTATCTCAAATTCGCTGTGTTCAGAACAAAACTCATTATCTTCCCTTCTAAACTCATCCCTGCTCCAAACTTTCCTGTTAACCAACCCATCAATCAATAAGCATTTATTAATTACCTACTGTGTGCCAGGCCCAGTGCTAGGCACTGGAGGTACAAAGCAAAAAGTGAAGCCATGTTTGCCCTCAAGGAGCTTACAATCTACTGGAGGAAACAAGTGGAATACATATAAGTAAACACAGAACAGCCATGAGGTCATTTATGGGGGAGGGGAGTGAGAGGGGTGAGGAAGGCCTCAGGTGGGAAGCCCTTGGGCTGGCCACTGAAGGATGCTGGAGTTTTTTTTTTTTTTTAGTTTTTTTTTTTTTGATGCTGGAGTTTCTAAGAGGCAGTGATGAAGTGGGATGGCATTTCAGGCATGAGGGTCAGCCTGGGCAAAAGAGAGGAGATGGAAAATGGAATGTCAAACATTCCTATTCTCACCAAGCTCACACTTTGGGGGTGAGAAAATGCTCTTTCCATCATGCCAAGTAAGAAGGCCAGCTCCTTTGTAACATGATCTAACTTTGCCAGTTTGATTGAGAAATCCCCCTTTCAGTCAATTAACAAATAATTATGGAGTACCTACTATATGTATGGCTGATTTCTCTCTTTAGTCCAGGGAATCTTAGCCAGAGAGATTTAGAGGTCCATGAACTTGTTGGGGGAAAAATACAACTTTATTTTTACTAGCCTCTAAATTAAATTTAGCATTTCTTTTAATTATGAATAGAGGCAACTAACATGATTCTAAGAAGGGGCTCTTGGGCTTCACCAGAGTGGTCCATGACACACAAAAAGGTAAGAACCCCTAGACTAGTCCAAAGACCCAGCTATTTGCTCATTCTTCCAGGAGTTGCCTTGCTGTTCCCTGGGAACTCTCTGGTTTCCCAATCTCACCATCCACCATCTCTTCTCTTCCAGCCCCTAATTTAGCTAATCTATATCTATATCTCCTCTGGGTTTCTGCTGGTCCAGAGACCTATTGAATCTTAGGCTGGAAGAGTTTTTAGAACATAGAATGGTAGATCTGGAACAGATCTTTGAACACAAAACATTAGAGCTGGGAGCGACCTTCAATGTGGGGATTGTCAACACTGGAAGATCTTACAACAGAGAATGTCAGAATACAGGCTATCAAAATTGGAAGAGAACTGAGAGAACATCTTATCCAATCTCCTCATTTTAAAAGTGAGGAAACTGAGGACCAGAGAAAGGAATTAACTTGTCCAAGTTACATAATTTGTAAGAGATAGTATGGTTACTTAAACCAAGTCTTCCTACCTGAACTATAATATTTTCCAACCCTAGACTTATTTCACAAAACATCCCTGAGACTAGTAGTACCCTAGGACCAATAAACTGGCTGATTTAGGGAACTCTAGGAAGCAAATCTGTCTTCCGAATTCTTGTTAATACGATAAATCTTATTTGTGATGAAGCCTTTTGAAAACACTGGTTATCATCTCTGGTATTTAAGAGTTAAACCTTGTGTTAAAACTCATCATTTTTTAATTTATTTTTTTATTAACCAAAATCTGTTTTCTTTCCTTCTCACCTTTGCTCCCAATTAAAAGCCAAACCAAACCTTTGTAACAAATATTCATAGTCGATCAAAACAAATTCTCATATTGATTATGTTCAAAAATATGTTTCATTTTGTACCCTGAGTCCATCTCCTAAGGGTCCTCTGGAATAATAGTCATTGCATTGATCAGAATTCTTGAGTCTTTCAAAGTTGGTTGTCTTTATAATGTTGTTGTGATTGTGTAAATGGTTCTCCAAGTTCTGCTCACTTTCCTTTGCATCGGTTTATAGAAATCTTCCCAGGATTCTGTGAAACATCCACTTCCTCATTTCTTACTGCACAACAGTATTCCGTTCAGCAGTACACTGGTAAATGTTTAACAACTGGCTCTCAAAAGACATATGACATACTTTCAAGTTTAATCAGCATTATTAACATTTTCTGCATCACTTGCTTGAGTCTAGACAATCAACAATACAATAAACCAAACCCTATTCATATGTTTGCTGATTCATGCTGAAAATGTTAACTGACTCTTGCAAGATGGTATGAACTGATTCCAGCATACCCCTGATATCCTTACATTTATACACACCATAATTTGTTCAACCATTCTCCAATTGATGGGCATCCACTTAGCTTCTAGCTTTTGCCATCACAGAAAGAACTGCTATAAATATTTTTGCCCCGTTGCCCTTTGGAGCTTTTCCTTCTTTCTTTTAGCTGTTTGGGATATAGGTCTAAGAATGGTATCCCTAGATCAGTTTAGTAACTCTCTGGGCATAGTTCCAGACTTCTTTCCAAAAGGGTTAGACTAATTGAACAACTCCACCAATAGTGCACTGATGTGCCTGTTTTACCATAGCCCCTCCAGCATTTGTTATTTTCTTTTTTTTGTAAGCTTTGTCAATCTGATAGGTGTGAGGTAGAATCTCAGAGCTGCCTTAAATTGCATTTCCCTAATTATTCATGATTTGTAGCATTTTTATATGATTATTAATAGCTTGGATTTTTTTTCCTTAGAAAACTACCTATTTTTATGCTTTGACTATTTATCAATTGGGATTGGCTCTTAGTCTTGTGAATTTGAATCAGTTCCTTTAAATCTTAGAAACGAGACTCTTAGCTGAGAAATTTGCTGCAAAAAATTTCCCCCAGTTATCTCTTTCCCTTCTAATTTTAGTTATATGGGTTCTGTTGGAAACGTTTTAAATTTTATGTTACGTGACTTCACCTGCATGATTGATGTCATATTGCTTGCCTTCTCAAGGTGCAGGGGAGGGCCTGACGGAGGGCAAAAATTTGGAACTCAAAAATTTTAAAAATGAATGTTAAATTTTTTTGAAAATGTAATTGGGAAATATTAATTTTTTAAAAAATTTTGTGTAATCAAAATTATTCATTTTATCTTCTGGGACCTCCATCCTTTGTTTGGTCATAAACTCTCCCCTGACTCACAGAGAGGACAGGTAATTTCTTGCTTGCACCTCTAATTTGTTTATGATGTCATTCTTTAGATCTAATTTGGAAATAGTGTCTAGGTTGTGTGTCTATTGGACCTAATCTTGAGATACGGTGTGAACTGTTGGTCGACACCCCATTTTTGTCAGACTTTTCCAATTCCTGTCTTCTCTTTTCATTTTGTTATTATTATTATTCACAGATTAGTCAGTCAACAAGCATTTATTAAGTGCCCCCCAAGGGCTCCCAATCTAATCATGAATCCAATAGGTAAATACCTAGATACATACAGAACATATACAGTGTGAATGGTAATCTCAGAGGGGATGGCTCTAGTAGCTGGAGAAGGGGCCCAAGAAAGGCCACTGTAGAAGATGGGATTTGAGGCCCGGAGAGAAGTGAGCTGCCTAAAATCACACATAGCAGAGACTGCACTCAAACCTGGGTCTCTGGGTATGTTACTGTGTAAATTGTTCTCCTGGTTCTGCTTGCTTCATTCTGCATCAGTTCATCCAAGTCTTCCTGGGATTCTCCAAGAGCCATTGATGACTCCTTGACTCCTCATTTCTTTCTCTCTTCACTTTTTTTTTGTCCCAATTACCAACTTCTCTGTGGGGACGTTATTCTGTTAAGTGTTTCCATACCATCAGCATTAGCAGGATAAAAGTAGACAGTTACATTTAGCACACACAGGAGAGGTCTTTGTAACACATGTAAGAAAGGACTTGTTTGCCTCCAGTGAGAAGGGGGTGCAATTATCATGGAAGCCACAATATGGAGGGAAGGCAACTTTGACCCTCCCCCCACCCAGCCCTTTGTATTCTCCCCTCATTTCCCCCATACCCCAAAATGGAGTTGCTTTTTTAGGGACTAGATCTTCGATATTCAGCACATCCTTTTCTCTCTCTGAGACTCAGTTTCTTCCTCTATAAAATGGGAAGGTTGACCTTGATTATCATTAAGGTTTGTCTGCTTTCTTTTAGTTCCTGGTGTTCCTAGAGTTCTTTTATTGAACCTCTGGTCTCTCTGTGCCTCCATCGATATTTTCTTTGCATTATATCTCCCTACATATATACCCCTGCCAAAGAGCATGGGACCATTGATTTAGAGCTGAAAGAGATTTCAGAGATCATAAGGTCCAACGTCCTCCTTTTACAGATGAGGAAACTGAGGTCCAAAGAGAGGAAGGAACTTGCCCATGGTTCCAAAGGTTAGAAGAGGCAGAGCTGGGATTCAGATCCAGGGCCCTTGAACCCAAATTGAGCCTGTTTTCAACAGCACTGCACACTACATGCCTAAAGTAGTGTAAGGCCAGGGTTGGTGGCTTTTCTGATCTTGTATTCCCATAACTGTGACTAGAACTGAATTGAATTGGATTCTAAGGTCCCTCTTGGACCTGACATCTTCTGTCCTAAGGTCCCTCCCAGCTCTGACATCCTGTGTTCTAAGATTCCTCCTAGATTTAACCTTCTTTGTTCTAAGGTTCCTTCCAACTTTGATAGTCTATGTTTTAAGCTTTCTTTCAGCTCTAAGGCCCCTCCCAGCTCTGACATTCCCTGTTCTAAGCTCCCTCCCAGCTCTGACATTCCCTGTTTTAAGTTCCCTTCCCAGCCCTGACATCTTCTGTTCTACGGCCCCTCCCAGCCCTGACATTCCCTGTTCTAAGTTCCCTTCCCAGCCCTGACATCTTCTGTTCTATGGCCCCTCCCAGCTCTGACATTGTATTGTGCTACGTCCCAAGGTCCCTGACTGTCCTAATGTGTTACCCTCTCATCGGTCAGGTCTGTCCCTGAGCTCCAGGTGGGCCAAGTAGCCGGGTCCTCAGCTTCTTCATTCTTCCTCCTCCATGCCCTCCCCTCTCCCTCCCATGATCATAGCAACCACAGCCCTACAATGGCAATGACCATGAGGATTCCAGCCAGGACACAGATGGCCAGGAAGACGATGTCACTGGTGTCCTGGGTCACGCCGATCCCCAGCTGCCCTTGTGACTCAGCCTCTGCCTGAGGTGGGGCTTCCAGCAGGTGCTCGGCGCTGCCGTAGGGACCGCGCCAGCCAGAGCCGGACAGCAAGTGCACCGAGGCCTCCTTCTTCCGGGGTTCACAGCGTAGCTCGTACTCATGGATGTCTTCCTGTCCAACCACACCCGAGAAGTCGATGAACAGGATGCTGACGATCACGGCCGTGTTGTTCCTCTTCTGTAAAACCAATCCAGAGCCCCAGAGCTGGATCTAAGGGCTAGACTCTCTTTTATGGGTGGGCCCTACCATCTAGATTATCCGGGGGACAGGGGGTTGCCTATATCACCCCTGCCTCATTTCCAGGCCTGACCCAGATGCTCTCTCCCCAACTACTCCACTAGCCCACCCCAAGCCCAGGGACTGAGCGAGCTATCCCCATCTCCCAGGATAAAGGCCTAGCAAATTTGGACTGCCCGGCTGACCTGGCCCAACGGTACTTTTGGTGACCGAGACAATTGCAGTCAGCCAGTGGGGAGAGATCAGGAGGTGTGTGGAATGAGCTGAGCAGCTCCCTAGAATGACACACTCTTAGAGTCATGGAATTTTGAAATCTCAGAAACCACAGGGTCTTAGATGTATAGAATCACACACCTCTCAAAATCTAATCATGGAATCAGAGTCTCCTCCAGATAAAGACCTGGAGTCATAGAATATCAGACATTAGATCTAGAACAGCAGAACTGGAAGGAACCTTCAAGCACAGAACTGCAGAGCTGGAAGGATCTCCGAATATAGGCTGTGAGGATTTTGGAAGATAAAATCAAAGCATTTTTTAACCATTGCCTTCTGGAACATAAAATTACAGAATCTCAGATTTCAAGAGGACCTCAAAGGTCAGGGAACCCAATCCCTGTTCCTCCTATTCCCTAGAGTTCCATGGGATGGTAGTTGGCCCTAGGCCTAGTCCTTCCCTTTTTTAATGCTCTGGGACCCCCTTCCTCACCAGGCCTCTTACCTGGGATTCGGTGCCGCAAGTATCAAACCGGGCCTGGATTCTGAAGTGGTCACCAATCACCTGGGCTGGGCAGCTCCGGCTTCCCAGGTAGATCTGGCTCCGATCCAGCTGCACCAGTGACTGAACCGAGATCTGGATCTGGAAGTCGGTGCGGGTGCAGCTGACGTTCATGGGGACCACTGAGAACAGAGGAGCGGCCAGGATCAGTGTGGCCCACCAGGGTCCAGAGCACAGGAGAAAGGCATCTGAGCAAAAGGAACCGTGCTCTGGGGCTCAGGGGCCCAGGCTTCCACACCTCTCTCTGACACTAACTGGTATGGTCCTGGGGCCTCAATGATCTCATTTGTACATGAAGGGATTGCACCAGAGGACCCCTGAGGCCCTTTACAGCTCTGAATCAAGGAGTATTTATTAAGCACCTACTATGTGCCAAGCACTTCATAAATATTATCTCATATATTGTCCCCATTTTACAGATGAGGCTCAGGGAGGCTAAAGGATATTCACCTAAGGTTACACAGCTAGTAAATGTTTGAGAGATTTCAGAGACCATTTAGTCTAACCCCCTGCATTTTTCTTCCAGGCCACATTCCCTCCCTACCTCTCTGTGGGTCTCTTGGGGGGGGACTCTCTGCCTCTGCATTCATTTGCTCCCCAGAAAACTGACCTTCACCATAGCAATGGAGAAGGAGGTAGGGTGGGAGGGAGCTCTAATCCTCTCTTTCAGGTGTGTTAACCACAGGAGAGCTTCCCACACAACACCAGTGGAAAGAGAGACACCGTGTTCCCAAGGTCTGGCTCCAGGGTCCTTCCTCAGCTTTTTCTTCTGTTGGACCATTTGATTACGGGGACCTTCTAGGGCCAACCCTCTGTGTTCTTCTGTTGCATGTTCTAACATTCTGGGCTGAGTTCTAACATTCCATATTCTAACTTATTTTCCTGTTCCCAGTCCCTTCTCCCCTCAAATCCACCCTCCACACAGATCAAACTGACATCCCTAGAGTGCATATTTGACCACATCACTCTCTTCTCAAGAAACGTCTATGGCTCCCTATTCCTGTAGGGAAAAAAAAAAAAAAACCACAAGCAGGCTGCTCAGCCTTCTGCCATAGGTTCCCACCTCTCTTTCCTATGATTTCACATCACTCCCCTTCATTCACTCTTTATTCTACTTGCCAGTTAGCAGCTTCCCACACATGACACTGCTTCATTTCCTCTCCTATCTCTAGGCCTTGGTATAAGCTGTGCCCCATGCCTGGAATGCTCTCATTTCTCACCTCTGCAACACAGAATCCCTGGCTTCCTTCCAAGCTTCCTTCACAGCTCGGGTACCACCTCCCACTCTGAGACTTTCCTCATTCCTCTACTTGTTACTTTCTCTCTCTCTCTCTCTCTCTCTCTCTCTTTCCATCTTCCCCTCCCCACCTCGTCTCTGTGTCTTTCTCAATTACTTTGGTTGTAAACTATGTGCCAGGCACTGTCCAAGGTGCTGGGGATACAAAGCCAGATGAAGCAGTCCTTTCCCTTGTGAAGCTTACATTCTATCAGCAAGGAAAGTGGATCTGGGTTCAATCCCACTTCCAAGGTCCACTCCCCAGGGGCCCTTCCCGTCCCTGGCCCTCAATTTCCTCATCTTTAAAGTGAGAGTTTTGGGCTAAAGGCCTGTGAGATGCCTCTTGTCTCTAGATCTGGAATCCTCTTGAGCCCTCTGCCCTAACATTCTTTTTTCTAAGGTCCCTTTTAGCTCTGACATCCTAAGGTCTCTTGCAGGTCTAATAGTCTGCAGCAGAGGATTTAACATTGTGTTCAAACCCCAAGTTCCCTTCCAGTTCTAACATTGTGTGAGTTGATGTTTCAGGCTCCCAATGTGGAGTCATTGCAGCAGGCTCCCCCGAGGCCGTTTTCTAGTGAGGAGGGAAGATAGGAGTGTAAATCAGGGCCGCTGCCCAGTTCGAAGCTGCCATGATGATGGGGAGGACACAGTTGAGGCTGTAAATCTCACAGGCCTCCAGGCAACAGAGGCTGACATATTTTTAAGCTTTGCCTGACAGAAAGAGTCTGTTGCTGGCAGCAGAAGTCTAGTCCTTTCCTCTCTCCACTGCCTTCCTGGCCCCAAACAGCCAAAGCACATGTCCTCCCCCACCAATCCACACACTCTCTTTTGTTGTAAGACCTGAAAGGGAAGAGGGTATAGAAAGAAAATGTATCTGTAGGGCCAGGAAGGGGATTGTGGAGGAAACTCCAAAGTCTGTATGATTTGAGCAATAATAAAACTCTGAATCCCCAAATAGCTCCCTACTTTTCCTAAAGTTACGTAGAATGGATGCTCCTTGAGGACAGGAACTCTGTTTTGTCTTTGTATTCCTCAGCACCTAGCATAGCTTGTGACATTGAGTAGGTGGGCTTCACAATCCCACTTACCACAGCAGCTCTTCCAAACCCTTGTGTCCCTCCCCAAACCTTCCATGGCTCCCTCTTCCCCCATCTTCTCAGCTGAGAACCACATTTCATGTTTTACTGAAAAAATTGAGACCGTGTGACATGAGCTCTTTCTTCTCCCACCTCTTCATGTCCCATCATTCAGGTGCCTTCTGCTGCTTCATCCAGGTCTTGCCCTGTTCTATGTTCCTTGGTGATGTCTTCAGTTCCCATGGATTCAACTATCATCATTATACATATGATTCTCCATTCGATTTATCCAACCCTAACTACTCTTTCAACCTAGAGACTCAGATCTCCAGGTGACTCAGACATCTCAAACTGACATCTTAAACTCAACGTGTTCAAAACTGACCTCCTTCTTTCTGCCCCCTCCCAATCCTTCTCCTCTTTTTAACATCCTTATGATGTGAAGGGTACCACCATCTTCCCATTCACCAAGGCTCACAACCTAAATGTCATCTTCTACTCCTTTCTCTCCTCCCCCATCTACAATCTGTTGACAAATCCTGTCAGTTTTACCCTGGTAAAATTCTCACCCTTTGCTAAACTGGTCCTCAGCCCCTCTGTAGCCGGCCAGGATTCAAAGCCTATTCAGCTTGGTCAGGCCCAGCGAAGCTTTGGTCCCTCTGGTGTGGCTTGGGAGATCCCAAGGTTACCTCCATACCACAACGGGGTACCAGAATAGCATGTTAGTTGAAAGCTAAATCTAATAAGATGAAACTAAATAGGGATGAATTTAAAATCCTATATCTGGTTTCAAAAGATTGATTTCATGAGTATAAGATGGGGAGGCAAGGCTAGCAAAAGTTTATATGAAAAAGATCTGAGGGGATTAGTGGACTACAAGCCAAGCCAGTAGTGTGACAGGGCAATCAAAATCACATACAGTCTTACATCTTAGCCTTTATTAAGAATAGCATCATCTTCAGAGCAAGGGCAATAACTCTTTCTTGTACACCCTGTGCTGCCCAAAGCGCATTCAGAGCAGCATGGCGCTCCACTCTGGATGCCACATTTTAGGAGGGATATTGCTAAGATGTGAGCATATTCCCATTCATTCTCTTGGCCGTGGCTGTTTCAGAGAGCATGAGGATCTCAGGCACCAAGGAGGAGCAGTGTGACATAGTGGCAAGAGGGCTGACCATGGCCTCACAAAAAAGAGGTTCAACGGAAATACAGGTTTCCCATGGGTTTCCCACCCATTTAAGACTTCATAAGATAGTTACCTATCTGAATTGGAAGAAGAGAATGGGGAAGAGGGGACGGGAAATGGGTTGAGGCTGGAATGCCCTATGCCAATGAAATACATATCCAGACTAAAAAATACCCAAACACCAAAAAACATGAAAAAAAAAATCTCAGAATCAATCCAATGGAGACTACAGAGCATAGACTAAGATATCGAATAGTACCTTGGTTTTGATAACGTCATCAATGTCTGTAGATAAAAAAGTTGTGTGAAATTTATAATTGTGCCCATATGTCGGGGTTCTGCTCGTCTGTTCAACCTCTTTTAGGAGATAAAATTGTTGATTTTAGTTCCATGATGATTCTCAAGTTCACCCCCTTCTCTCCTCTTACATCACCACCATCTTAGGTCAGACCCTCATCACCTCCTGCCTAGACAATTTTAACAGCCTCCTCATTGGTCTCCTGGCCTCAAGTTCCTCCCCATCCTAATCCATTCTACTCTCAGTCACCTGTAAAATCACCCAAGTGATTTTGGATTTTGAAACCCTTCCCAAACCAGTTCCAATCGACCTTTCCAGTCTTATGAGGCATTACTCCTTTCAAGCACTCTGCAATCTCGCCATAGTAGCCTGTTCTTCACACAAATACACCATCTCCCATCTCCATGTCTTTGCCCAGGCTGTACCTCATGCCTAGTGTTGTCTCCCTCCTCCCCTCAGCCTCTCAGAATTCTCTTTCAAAGCCATCTTCAACATGAAGCCTCTTCTGATCCCTTCCACTTTTAGGACCCTCCCCCACAAAATCATCTTGTACTCATATACTTGTGTGTAAATGTTGTCTCCCCTGAGAGAATATACCCTCCTTGAGGGCAGGGCTTATCTTTGCTTTCTCTTTGTAACCCTGCAGTGCTTGGAGCATAGTAAGTCCTTAATAAATGCTTGTTGAGGGGCAGGTAGGTGGCTCAGTGAATAGAGCACCGACCCTGGATTCAGGAGGACCTGAGTTCAAATCTGGTCTCAGACACGTAACACTCACTAGCTGTGTGACCGTGGGTGAGTCACTTAACCCCATTGCCTAGCTAAAAAAAAAAAAAATGCTTGTTTATTGATTGATTGAGGGACAGCAAATCAGAACATTCTCTATTCTTTAAAATATTCTATTTTCTTTAAATATTCTATTTAAAATACTCTATTTTAAAGAAATTTTACCAAGGTGTCCCCCGCCAGAGAAGATCTTCAGAAAGCACTGTCACATTGAGTAGGGGTAGGAGCTACTAGGGGGAGCCATCAGCCAGAGGAAGGATGGTTAAGTCCGAGATTTAGCCCCTTCCCCTCTAACCCTGCCCAGTAGTTCGGGACGGGTCCATACTAACCTCCAATATAGGCCACAGAGAAGCCACGTTTGGCCGTGTTGCGGTCTGTGTGCAGGACAAGCAGAAGCTGGTTGTGGCTGGACACGATGGGCGCTGGCATCTCCCGCCCGCACCACGTCCCCAGCAGGGAGGCGGCCTCACTGGCTCCATCAAAGGCAGCCAGGTGGTCAAAGTCACAGCTGCTGGTTAGTACGTTTCTCCCTTCCAGGTCCAGATCCAGGAAAAATACCTTGATCCGGTAGCCCGAAGGCATCTGAATAGTCCAATGGCACCGGATGTTGTTGGGGTAGGAGTTGGGATACTGAGGACTGGAGAAGTTGCCTTTTATGGCCATGTAAACCTCCTGGCACTCCCCTGGGTGGGAAGGAAGAATGACAGTAATGTCACCACAGGAAGGACATGAGAAGGAACCAGGGCAGTTGCTGGGGTATGCGGTTTGTCTCCCAAATCTTCTGCTTAGGAGGTTTGCAACAGGCATTAATGTGGCATTAAAAACACTGTTCGTGGGTGACGGTGCTATACCCAATGAAAAGGGATTAGTGAGACTGATCATAAGAAGCAGGCTTAATGTCAACCGCAGTTCTGTGTTCCTGATGCCACGTTAGTGGGTGGGTGTTATATGGAACACGAGAAAATTCTCATTCTCTCTCTCTCTCTCTCTCTCTCTCTTCCCCTTCCTCTTCCTGTCTCTCTTGTCTCTCTCTCTCTCCCCTGCTCTCCCTCCTTCCCTTCCTCCTTCTGTCTCTGTCTTTATCTCTGTCTGTCTGTCTGTCTGTCTCCTCCCTCTTTCTCTGTCTTTCCTCTCTGTCTCTGTCTCAGAGCAGCTGAAAATGTTGTGACTTGTTTTAACGAAAATTTCATCTTTCAGAAGGCTGGAAAAACCAATGGAGGCCCTGCTAGTCTGGACCTAATTCTGACCAGCCAAGAAGCTGCTAAAGCAGATGTGATGGGGACTTTGGAGACAAGGGAACCTTCTGTCACAGAATTTATGACTGACAAGGTGAGGAAGGCTGGGCACAGTCTGACTGGGAGAAAGCCGTTTTCACATGGTTTGGAGAAAGAATAGTTAGAACTAAATGACATAATATTTTGCAAGAGAAGTTGATCCCAGAGGGATGAGAAGTACTCAACCAGGAAATTTTAGAAGCATGGTGGAAATGATTCTGATCAGGAAGAAAAGGGGCAATCTGCTAATAAGCCCAATACGGACGTACAAGGAGAATAGGGATTAGCTCAGATTATTTTTTTAAGCCAGGGTGTCCCTATCATAGCCAGGCTGGAAGTTCAGTGGCCACTTACAGGCCTGACCCCCCCCCCCCCCCCCCCCCCCCCACGCTTTGACGGACTCTGTTTTCAATTGGAGCCACATAACCTCTCTTGAGGTAGCCTCGTGCCTCCTCCACCCTGAGGCTTCCCATAATGGGGCCAGACAGTATAGACACCCCACTAGTTTTAGCTCTACTATAACTCAGAAATCCCCAATGTAAACAATCTTCCAGCCTCAGTTTCCCCTAGCCAATCAGTCAACTAGTATTTATTTAGCACCTACTATGTGCCAAGGGGCAGTTAGGTGGCACAGTGGATAAAACACTGAGCTTGGACTCAGGAAGACTCATCTTCCTGAGTTCAAATCTGGCCTCAGACCCTTACTAGCTGTGTGACCCTGGGCAAGTCACTTTGCCCTGTCTGCCTTAGTTTCCTCATCTGTAAAAGGGGCTGGAGAAGGAAATGGCAAACTACCCCAGTTTCTCTACCAAGTGGGGTCAGGAAGAGTTGGACATGATTGAAATGATTCAAAACAGTAACATGGGCCAAGGTGCTGTGCTAATAACTTGGAAAACAAAAAGGCAAAAACCAAACAGTCCTGGGCTGGAGAAGTTCACGGTCTAAAGGGGGAGGGAATGTACAAACAACTGCCTACAGAGCAGATAAAGATAGGGGCTGCAGGCGGGAGCTCCCACATATGACCCTGCTCAGATTTCAAAAAGTGCCTGTAGAGGATGGCAAGAAAGAGGGATGATGGGGGAACAGCCAGAGTGCCCCCGGCATCCTCATAATGTCAGGAGAAACTGAGGAAGGCCTCCAGCCTGCATGTCATCCCCTACGGCAGATTTATCAGATAGACAAGAGGAACGCATGAAGGGTGGGACTGGAAGGGATGCAACCTGCACCATTGGAGGGCACACACCAAGCAGTGTCCTCCCCAATCCATCAGAATCGCTGAGTGTAAAAGGGGAAAGCAAGGACATCTAGCTGAGGATGACTATGGAAGCATTGCGCCACTGTGCAAGCAGAGGGTCATGGGATGCAGCTGCCAATGAATGCTTAGGACAACAGAGTCATCTGCTAGGCAGTCAGTCACTAAGCATTTATTAAATGCCTACTATGTGCCAGACTCTATGCTGAGCTCTGGGGATACAAGGAAAGATTTTTTTTTAAAAGTCCCCACCCTCAAGAAGTCTAATGGGAGAGACAGCATGCAAACAACTATAAACAAACGAGATACAAATACAGGGTAAATTGGTAATGACCTCAGAGGGAAGGCATTAGCCTTAAGACAGACCTAAGAAGACTCGCAGAAAGTCAGACTTGAGCTGACTTGAAGGAATCCAGGGAAGCCAGGAGGCGGAGATGAGGAGAGAGAGCATTCCAGCCATGCAGTACAGCCAGGGCAAATACCTGGAGTCCGGAGATGGTGTGCCATGTGAGAGGAGCAGAAAGGAAGCCAATGTCACTGGACAGCAGAGTACATGGGATGAGGGAGTTGGGTGTAAAAAGACCAGAAATTTAAAGGGGCCAGGAAAAGACAAGGATGAAGGAAGGGATAGGGCTGTTGGTTGGGGTGGATGGAATGATGGGAATGGATGAGATGAGAAGGCCAAGTGAGTCCATTCCCATTTGACTCTGTCCTTTCTTCCAAGAGACAATGTGGTCTAGAGATAGAAAGCTGGCCTCAAAGTTAGAAGGATATGGGTTCAAGACTCACCTCTGACATATATTGACTGAGTGACCTTGGCCAAGTCCTTTAACCTTTTAGTGCTCTAGACAATGGTCTAAGACTCTAAGTTGCAGAGAATGTGCAACTTGCATTGGTGAAGGGAGTTTCCTCTTCTGAGAGTTCCTTGTAACAATTACATAACGGTCCAATCCCTTACCTCTTTGTCTTCCAACAAGAATGAACTTTGGAAGAAGACTGATAGAATAAAAATGATTGCAGACCCAAGCAGAAACTTAAGAAGAGTGAGGAGACAGTGGGCAGGCACCTAGTTCCTCTCAATGAGTTCGGGGTACCGGCCTGAATGAACTGTGTGAGAGGTTCCTGAAAGAAATGGCAAACATGATGGCTGAGACACAGTTAATGGCATTTGGAAGATTTGGGAGAATAGGAGAATGTGTTGCAGCACCAGAGAAAGGGAATTGTCCTGATTTTCCAAAAAAGAGAATGGGGGTGTTGCAGCTAGGTGGTACAGTAGATAGAGCACCAGCCATGGAGTCAGGAGGACCCGAGTTCAAATCCAGCCTCAGACACTTCCTAACTGTGTGACTCTGGGCAAGTCACTTAACCCTAACTGACTCCAAAAAAGTGGGGGGAATAGGGGAGAGGGTGCAAAAATGTAGGCTGGTGAGCCTGATTTCAATTCTTATAAAAGTCTAGAAGTCATTGTTAAGGAGACAGTCTGTGCGTGTTCACAAAGAAAGGAATGATCACAAGGAATGAGCAAAACTTTATCAAAGGCAGGTCACATCAGAACAACCTTGCTGTCTTTTCTAACAGGTCACTAGATGGGTAGGTCAGGGAATGTTGCGGGCATGGGGCTGGAAAAAGAATTCGCTCAAGGGAAGAGCTATTCAATTGGTCATATCTTTTGTCTCAAAGATCCCTCTGCCAGAATTATACCCCAACGATATTATCAGCAGCAAGGAAAGACTTGTCCACATATCAATTTCATAGTTGCATTATCCATCATAACAAAAAGCTGGAAATAAAACCTGTGTCCAACATTTAAGGAATATGTAAACAAACTGGTTATAATGGAACACTATTGTCATAGAATAAATGACAAATACAAACAATTCAGGACAGTCTACTCTGGTTGAAAAATCATTGATGGATTGATTCCAATTTGGAAGATGTCTCTAGTGAACTGCCCCAGGGATCTGTAATCAGACCAATTCTATTCAACCTTTCTATCTATGACTTGCATGAAGGCATAGAATGTATGTTTATTAAATTTGCAGATGACCTGAGGCTGGGAAGGAGCTATCATGATGGACAACTGGATCAGGATCCAAAGAGATCTCAGAAAGCTAAAAAAGTAGGCCAAATTTTTTTTTTTTTTTTTTTGCGAGGCAATTGGGGTTAAGTGACTTGCCCATGGTCACACAGCTGGTGTCTGGTCTGAGACTAGATTTGAACTTGGGTCCTCCTGATTCCAGGGCTGGTGCTATATTACGGTGGGCCAGATCAAACAAGATGAAGTTTAATAATAAACATAAAGTTCTGCATTTGGATTGAAAAAATTAACTGCACAAGTACCAGATGGAGAGATGTGGCTAGACGATGTAGATGATCTGGAGGTCTTGGTAGACTACCAGTTTGATATGAGTCAAGTGTGACATGGCAGATAAAAAGCATACAAACCTCATATTTTAGCAGAAAGAGATAGGTCCATTGTACTCTGCCCTGGTCAGACCATATAGGGAGTATTGTGCTCTGGGTGCCACATTTTAGGAAGGTCATACACACATTGGAGTGCACCCAGAAGACAGAAGGAGACTCGGGAATGTGCTCAATGAAGACTGGGTGAAGAACAAGGGATGTCTATCTTGGAAAACAGAAGACTTAGGGTAGAAGAATGTTTTCAAGTCTCTGAATGGAAAACCCAAGAAGCTGGGCTTGGTCTAGGCCCAGAGGGAAGAAGTAGGAACCATGTAGGTTTGATGTGAGGAAAAAATGCCTAGCAATTAGAGCCGTGTATGAGTAGACCAGAAGAAGGATGAGTTCCCCCTTCCTGGCGATCTTTAAGATGGCCAGTTGTCAGGCGTGGGGGATTCCTGCTCACCTATTGTTCAGACTAAATGACCTCTTTCAACCAGGAAATTCTGGGATTGGGAGCCCATCTGGGAGAGCTGGTAGCTCTTAGGGGCTAGAGAATGCATGGGGATAGTTCTGTGTGTGTGTGAGATCTCCCCGGAGCCCCATAACACCCCCAGGGAGCAGGTGGGTGGGCCAAGGATCACCGACGCCCGTCCTGCCTTCTCCTCTCCCCCCACATCCTCACACCTCCTACCTGAGAAGTAGTAGGCCTTGAAGCCTCGGCCGGCGATGTTGAAGTCAGACTTGAACACCACCTGAATCTCTCGGCCCCGGGACACCAGGTCGGGCGGCTTAGTGCTGCCACAGTAGTGGCTGCCCCGACCGGGGCCTGCCCCCTCGATAATGGCCACATAATCATAGTTACAGGCTCGGTTGCTCTCCACCTGGAAGTCGGCAAACACCAGCTTGATGGTGGAAGATCCAGATGCTCGGATGACCCAGTGGCATTCTGCGTTGTTGGGGTAGCTGCTGGGGTACTCTGGGCTGGTGATCACTCCAGAGAGGCCAGTGAGGACCCCGCCACAGGTGTCTGCAAGAGAACCAAGCCAGCTGTCACCCAGTCCGCAGAGGGGCACGCACGTCCCCTGTGCTCACTTGCTTCCTAGGGGCTGGCTCAGAGCATCACAAATGGGCCTTTGTCAGCCAGGCACAACGCTGCCCTTACCCCCACCATGCAGACAGGCGACAAAGACCCTTGCTAAAATCACTCCCCACCACCATTTCAAAAATGGAGCCCCCTGGCAAGTACAGCAGGAGAGGGGAAGCAAACATCCGGCCAGCAGGGAAGGATTCCATGCAGAGAAGGGCAAGCTGCTGGGGCAGGTTCTCAGCAGCTAATAGCCACCCCCCACCCCCACCCTGGACACACACTCCGTAAGTCATTAGCTTGTAAAATTTAGAGGATTATCAGTCTCAAGATGGAAAGATCACATAGATTATCTACTTGAAGCTTCTCCATTTTATAGAAGAGGAAACTGAGGCCCTGAACAGTTAGACTACTTGCCCGAGGTCACCAGGTAACAAGCGGTGAAGTACCACTTGGTCATATCCACTCTGTCCATCCCCCTCTTCTCCCCTCGTTTGTGTGCCAGGCTTGGAGAGGGCTCAGTCCCAGCCAAACGGGAGGCAATATACCCAATATCGCAGATAGGTGCCTAAAGCCTGCCTTCTGGAGATGTGTCAGAAGACACACCCATCATCTCATTCAGTCTGCACCTGGAAAAGGCCGGGCTTGTTGTCTGAGGTCCAGAGAGGATTAATCACTCGGACCAAATCAGGCAGCTATGATCCCCATTTCACAGAGAGGGAAACTGAGGACAAGAGATAAGAAGAGACCTGGCTAATGTCACATGGGTAGAAAAGTGGGATTCAAACCCAGGTTCACAGGTTCATTGACCTAGACCTGGAAGAAGTCTCAGAGGTCATCTGGTCGAACCCACTTTGTTTTACAGATGAGAAAAGTGGATCCCAGTGAAGTTAACTCAGTTGCCCAGAGTTGTGCAGGTAGTAATTATCAGAGCTGGGAAGTGACTCCTGGTCTAAGGTCCTGCCTCTCCCACCCTGAGGGGTCCCTTAGCTTCCCTCTCTCACCTGAACTCCTTCCAGTTATCCCCTGACCTTTCTGGTCACCCCCAACCTTTCTGGTCACCCCCAACCTTTCTGGTCACCCTCTGATCTTTCCAGTCACCCCCTGACCTTTCTGGTCACCCCCTACCTTTCTGGTCACCCCTGACCTTCTCAGTCACCCTCTGACCTTTCTGGTCACCCTCTGACCTTCCCAGTCACCCTCTGACCTTTCTGGTCACCCCCGACCTTTCTTGTCACCCCCTGACCTCCCCAGTCACCCTCTGACCTTCCTAGTCACCCCCAACCTTTCTGGTTACCCCCTGACCTTCCTGGTTACCCTTTCTGGCCACCCTCTGACCTTCCCAGTCACCCTCTGACCTTCCCAGTTACCCTCTGATCTTTCTGGTCACCCCCTGACCTTCCTGGTCACCCCCAACCTTCCTGGTCACCCCCGACCCTCCCAGTCACCCTCTGACCTTTCTGGTCACCCCTGACCTTTCTTGTCACCCCCTGACCTTTCCAGTAGCCTGCTGAGAAGCCCCAGCTGGCCACGTGCTTGTCCGAGTGGAAGATGACGGACATGATGTGCCAGGAGGAGGTGAAGGGGGGTGGGCGGTTCTGGCCACAGAACTGCCCCAGCAGGTTGCCCTCATCGCCGGAGGCCCCGTTGTAGATTTTCAGATAGTCGTAGCTGCAGGTGTCGTGGTACTCCAGGTCAAAGGCGTGGAAGGTGAGCAGGATGGAGCTGCCCTCGGCCACCACGATGAGCCAGCTGCACTCCGTGTCATAGGGGTAGAGCCCCGGGAAATTGGGGCTGGAGAAGTTGCCTGAAGGCCCAGAGAGCACCCCGCCACACTTGATGCCTGGGATGAGAACAGACCACGAAGAGAGCATTTCTAAAGGGCAGGGGTGAGGTGGGGGAGGGCAGTTCTCACTTTACAAAGTACTCAGGAGCTGTGGAACACCACGGAACCCTAGCTAGGGCCAGAAGGGACCTTCAAAGCCACTTCATTTTACAGAGGAGGAAACTGAGGTCCAGTTAGGTTTAGTGACTGAACTAAGTAGTACGTAGCAGAATTGGGATTTGAATACAGATCCTTTGGATCCCTTTCAGAGAAAGAAAGTGTCTTATCAAATCATCGAGTCTGGAATGGGCTGACTGACTCACTGGAATGATGGAATCTTGGAATTAAAGAATGAAAAAATCTCAGATTCTGGAATCGCAGATTACATGATCTTAGAGTCACAGATTGGAGAATGTAGATTCGCAACCAGAAAATCCTAGAACCTAAAAACCTCTCGTGCTTAGCACAGTTTTTGGATCCCAGTAGGCACTTAATAAATGTGTGTTGATCAACTGTTGACTGACTCACTGACCATATAGGACACAGCTGCAGAGAGAATTAAGCAGGCAGGATAAGAAAGGATAGGAAAGTGTGGAATGTGGACACCCTCCATCTCTTCTTCCTTCAACCCTCACTCCAGTAGAGATTGGTGCTAGCTGAAGGTAAGACCCATCAAAACAATCAATCAACAAGCATTTATTAAACACCTACTATATGCCAGGAACTCTAAGTGCAAGGGATACAAATACAAAAATAAAGCCGTGCCTGCTCTCAAGAAGCTTACCTTTTTTTTTTTAACGGTAAAGATCTTTAGTGATCCAGCTAACAGCAACTGTTGGTGAGCGTATTCTTGTATTTTCAAACACCAGTTGGTTTTGAAGGACAGAAGAAAAGAAAAGGAAAGAAAAGAAAAAAAAGAAAAGAAAAGAAAAAACCCATGCCATCCATGGAATGATGTCTAAAAGACTTGGCAGGCACCCTCTGATCTCCATCCAGAAAGATCATGAAAAGAAAGGGAGTGGGAGGAATGGGGGGCTAAGGAGATGGCCAGGGGCAGGGGAAGCCTTTGGTCTGAATAGCTCTGAAAAGAAAAGGCCAAGAGGGCAAGAGGGTCAGCAAAAGTTGGCAAGGGGGACATTTTCTTTATAAAAGGTTATCCAAAGGAAGCTTAAGATAGACACCCAATATGCCAGGGTCCTTTGGGTTCTCTCCTTCAAGGCCTGCAGTTCCTTACCAGGACCTCACATGCTAAAGGGGAGGAAAGGTGCACATGTGTAGACCTAGACAAAACATCTAAAGGAGGTGCAAAGTAACCTTGCAGGAGGAAAGCTGGGGGTGAGGGTGTGGTACATAGGAGCAGCAAAGCCTCCAGAAGCTGAGTTTGGAAGGAACCAGGCACTCCAAGAGGCAGAGATGGGGAGGGAGAGTGTCCAGGCTTGGGGACAGTTAGTAAAAAGGCTTGGGGCATCTTGGGGGAGTGAGGAGCAGCAGAGTGCCAGGGTCACTGGATCAGAGTGTGTCAAGGGGAATAACATGTAAGACTGGAAAGGGAGGGGCAGCTAGGTGGTGCAGTGGATAGCGCACCGGCCCTGGATTCAGGAGGACCTGAGTTCAAATCCAGCCTCAGACACGTAACACTTACTAGCTGTGTGACCCTGGGCAAGTCACTTAACCCCATTGCCTAGCTAAAAAAAAAAAACCAAAACAAAACAAAACAAAACAAAAAAAAAGCTTGGAAAGGAGGATCATTGACACCTGGAGCTTTATAGCATGACAGTCCTTCTGTTTCTGATTCTTTGATTCAATGACCAGTTATTAAGCCCTTCCCTTGTACCAGGCACTGTACCTCATCTGGGGCTATGAATGCAGAAACTTTGCTCACTTGGTAGCAGGTGTTATATATCTATGGTCTAATGTCTTCCTCCCAGTTCTGATGTTCTCTGTTCTGAGTCTATTTCAAGTTTTGGCATTCTAAGTTCTAAAGTCCATCCCACCCTTAGGACACCCTATGTCCTAAGGGCCCTCCCCATTCTGACATTCTTTGTTTTAAGGCCTCTCTCAGCAATAAAATGCCATGTTCTGAGGTTGCTTCCAGCCCTGACATTCAACGTTCTAAGGTCCCTCCCAGTTCCAAAATACTCTGTTCTGAAATCTTTTCCAGCCCTGATACTCTATATTCTAAGGTCTCTCCCCAATCTGACATTTTGATTTGAGATTCTTGTCAGTACAGGCATTCCATGTTCTAAGATTCACCCAGCTCTAGTATTCCACGTGCTAGGGTCCTTCCCATCTCCAAAATGTTTATGTTTTCTAGCTCTGATAATCTGTTCTAAGGTCCCTCCCAGCTCTAAAGTTCCTTCCTGTTCTGAGGTCTCTTCTAGCCTTAATATTCTATGTTCTAAGGTCTCTCCCAACTCTGACATCCTCTGATTTGAGGTCCTCGCCAGCTCTGACATTCCATGTTCTAAGACTCATCCCAGCTCTCATATTCTATGTTCTGAAGTCCCTTGCAGCCCCTTGGACCCTTGGCCATTGCTGACTCATAGGATTTTTGCTCTTGGCCTCGAAGGGACCTTGGAGATCATCTGGTCTATCTCATTCATTTTACACATTAGGAAACTGAGGCCTGGAGAAGTTGAGACTCACTCCACACCATACAGGTAGCGAACAGAAGAACCATGATTTGAAGCCAGGTCTTCTGACTCCAAAGTCAGCATTCTTTCCACTGCACCAAGACAAAGCAAGACATACATAGAAGAGCTCCAGCCTTTACCTCCTAAGCTTTGGGCGAGCCTGCCCACAGCCCACTTTGTGCAATGTCCTCACCACCCCTCCAGAGGACAAGTGCCTGCCCTGCCCCAGGTGGGCTAGATGGAATAGGGGAGAGCCCCCTGAGAGGCAGGGGCTGGGACCTGTGACTTTGGACCTGATTAAGAGGCTGGTGATCTGGTCTAGTAACCTGGGAGAGAACTTAAGAGTCATCATCTACCCCCCTCCATCCTCAGTGCCCTCCTCTTCCCCCACACTATGTTGCCTTCGGTTTTACCCCTTAAGGGATGCAGACCCTCTTTATCCCTCTGCCTTGCACAGCCACAACTAGGAATTTTAGTTTTGGGGACTAACTCAGGTATGGAGGAGGGATTGTAGTACAGGGGATTTCTTCCCAGATGCCACTTACCCTGGGGTTGTCCAGGGGCTGTTCTATCTTCTGCTGACTGACCGTGGTATGAAGAAGCTTATCCTTATCTCTGGAACATCCTGGTCCTGGCCCTGGAGAACCTCATGCCCTGAAGTGCCCGTCTCCCTGGGTGCTATGCAGCCCCTTTCCCTAGGTGGATGGTGCTGCTTGGCTCCAGTGAGCAGGAGACCAGGGGATTGTCACTTTCCCTTCTGAGCATCTGCAGGCTTCCAGGGACATCGCTGCCCCTTTGCCTGGGCTGCAGAAGCAGCATCTCTAGAGCGAACCGCACCCCTTCCTGCTAGTTAGTCCAGAGCTAACTCTGGTTCATCTGGAGTGTCCCTCCCCTCCCATTAGCAGAGGACCCTGAGAGAGGATGCGCCCTGCCCCCTCCGTGTCAGCAGCTTGAAACAAAGGCTTGGGGCAGCCTCACCCTACCTTTGGCTTCGATCAAAGTATCTTATTTATATTCCTGCCTTTTTTCCTCCAATGACCAAGGAACAAACATAGTACATGCTGAATAAATGTTTGTGATTTTTCTGAACATCAGAAGTCAATAACAAACAACGATGACCATAGCATCTTCTATATTAGGGGATATAATTACAATACCCTAGAGAGAGCCTTGACCCAGAAGCTAGTTGTAGGGTTCTCTATCCTTTTCAAAGCACTTTCATTTCCATTATCTTAACACCCCCAAGTGGGAGGCTGGGAGAGTTGGAGGAGTTCCATTTTAGAGTTGAAACTTGAAGACCAGAGAAAGTAATGTTCTGTCCAGGGCTATTTGCACTATAGCAGACCACCTTGAAACTCACAATGGCCATGGGGGAGCCACCCCACCCCAGAGCTGGACAATCTGGGTCCCCTAGGCTCTGCCCGAGTCCCTAGCTGACCCAATGCCCTCCTCCCCCACCCAGGGTAACAGTCTACCTTTCTTTCCATAGGCTGGCAGTCCCCCAGCCCTCAGGGCCACCACCAGGAGCAGCCAGGAGAGACTCAGGGTCTGTTCCATCTTGTTGTCCCCTTTGGGTCTGCAGAGCCAGAGATGGGCCTCGGGATGGAGGGGTCCAGAGCTCTGGACCAGTAAAGAAAAAAGAAAGAAAGAAAGGCCCCAAGCAGCCTCCGACTTAATAGCAGCATGAATAATTCATAGTTCCTCCCAATTGGTAAACTGATCCACTGGGTGCTTCCTTCACTCAATTTTAATGTCTGTGATCAAATGTCCCTAGATTGACACTCCCAGATCCCCTGTCATTGCACTTATATGTGGAAGAGAGGAGAATCTTCCAGCAGGGAGGAGTGGGCAGGAAGGGACAAGGGTTCAAAGACACCCTTAAGAATTGCAGCAGCAGCTTGAGCTCACATTTTCTGTTTATGAATCAATTTTCTCACAACAATTCTTTGTCAAAAAATAGAAGTATTCTTAAACTCATTTTACAGTTGTGGAAACTGAGGCCACAGCTAAACCATGGCTAAGCTGGGACTTGAACTCAGGTCTCTGTATTATAGGATCATAGATTCAGAGCTGGATGTCTTTTGGTTCAATGTCCTCATTTTACAGATAGGGAAACTGAGGACCAGAGAATGCAAGTAATTTGCTCAAGGTTGCGCAGCCAGGAAGGGGCAGAATTGGGATTCACACCCAGGTCCTCTGACCCTGAACTAATACTGATTAGTTTTAAGTTTCTGATTACTCATCCAGGAGCTGATCCTAGCATGGATTTAATCTGGAGGGGGAGGTACCTGGGGAGTTGGCTGACATGTCCCCCATAGTGTGGTTGATGCCATGGCCTGGGTTCCCCCAATCTTAAGGCCCTGCTGTATGCCTAGCCCTGTGGGAGACAAGAGAAGGGGGAGACAGGGTCCCAATACTCAAGAAACACACAGTCTCATCGGGGTGACAAGATGACTCATTTTGGAAATGATGCAAGATGGTCCTTCTGTTCTCCAGGCAAAACTCCAAGACCCTTAGAACTATATAGGGTGTTAGAGCACAGACACTGGGTGCTCGATCAGGAATCCAAAGTGCTAGACCAGAGGTGTCCATTGTGGTCCATGGGCAGTATTGCTGCCCACAACACTCCCAAATGGGGCAGAACCAGATTAAAATGGAATTGGGAAAGATTTAACAAAACAAATAAAAATACAACAAAACAAAGAATGTTAATAGGTGGTTTTCTAAGTCACCATGCCCCTGCAAGAATCCCTATGTACAATTTGGTGGCCCCCATGTCTACTGGAGTTTGGAGACCACTAGCTAGATCAGAGATTGAGTATTAGAGCCTGGAGTATAGACAGTCAGTGCTAGAAGAGACCCTGGCACCCATAGTGTTAGAGCAAAGGGTGCTAGAGGTGGAAAGGGTCTTAGACCATCAGAATTCAGAATGTTAGTACATGGCAGGACCTAAGGCTAAGACCATTCCATCCCACCTGTCAGGCAGCTAGGTGCTATAACTAGATAGAGTGATGGTCCTGGAGTTAGGAAGACCTGAGTTCAAATCCACACTCTAACACTTACTAGTCATATGACTGTGGATCAGTCACTTAACCTCTGCCTCAGTTTCCTCAATTGTAAAATAGCACCTACCTCCCAGGATTGTTGTGAGGATCCAATGAGATGATATTTGTAAAGTGCTTAGCATGGTGCCCTGCATGTAGTAGGTGTTTATTATATGCTTGTCCTCTCTTTTCTCTCCTTCCCCTTCCACTGTCTCTCATTACAACCTACCTCGAACTGATCCAACATCAACCCTCTGCTCCTACCAGAAGAGCCTGTTTCCTCTTTTGTAAAATGAGAGGTTAACTAAGCAGGCTCTGAGGTTGCACGCCCTCTAGATCTGGGATTCCCATTATAATCCCTATGACCTTGGGCTAGTCATTTCCTCAGTTTCCTCCTTTGTACAATGAAAGGATTGGCCTAATGGCTGAGACTCCTCCCAGGTCTAGAGCTCAAATCCCAGGATCCAGGACAACCCCAAACTGTTCCCTATGACCTTGAATTTGGGATCACAAGATCCTAGAGCAGGAAGAGGACAACTCATTTTACAGAAGAGGAAACTGAGGCCCAAGGAGGGGAAGTGATTTGCCCAAGGCCACTCAGATAGCAAGTAGCAAAGTCAGGATTTGAATCCAGGTCCTAATCCATGACTCTTTCCAATGCCGTTCCCTTGTGAGCTCTGGCTGGGCCCAGTTTTCCCTCTGCCCACCTGGAGAATGTTTGGACCTCTCTGTCTTTCTCCATGCACTTTGTCCTTGGTGATTGCCCCAAGCACCTCCATGGTGGGCAGGGGTTTGACCGAGGGAAGGGAAGTACCTGCTGATGAGACAACAGTGGGTGTGGCAAAGTACCTTCTGTCCTGTATTGTTATGTCATCGTTGTATTCATAGAATCATACCCTTAGGGTTGAGGGGGGGGGGATTGCAGCTGTGCAACCTCAGCCCCGCCCCCACTCCCTGCCCTACCAAGGTACACAGCCTCAGCAGCCTCGGCAGACCGCCGCCAACCAGCTTGCACTAGAAGACCTCCAGGAAGGGGAAAGTAGTTCTTATGTTTTAGTCTCATCTCCCTAGGGAGATTGCTCGGGCATGCTCGGCCTGATGTCATTCATTGGCTCCTTGAAAAACACAACTTTAGGTGAAACAACGTTGCAGGGAGCAGCTCATTCCATAGCAACAAAGTTATAGATGGAAAATGGGTTCCTAGGCAACGGAAAGTCAGGCTATAAAAGGTTAAAAGCGGTCTCTACAGAAACCAGGGACTATTAATAGGGCTGTGTGTGGCTGCTTGGATATACTAACAGATCTGAATGG